GGGAGGGGGGGGGGGGGAGGGGGAGAGATGGTGATGAGGGGTCTAGAGTGAGGGGTCTCGGGCGAGGGAAGTGCTCTCCGCTCTCCCGGAGGCCGGGTTAAGCCATCAGCACAAGGCACTCAGGTTTAATTGTCAGAAATGCAGCAGAGAGAAATGAATGTGACTCTGCCCGAGCTGGCACAGCCCCTCCGGCATCACCCGCCTGGGGTCCCCCACCGGCCTCCCTCCCTGCACCTCCAGCTGTTCTCCCTGCTCCCAGGAACAAACAGCTGCCAAAGTGGCAGGGTGGGGAGGAGGGTGGAGGGAGGAGATGGGGCGGGCTGTTGGGGAAGAAGACAAGACAATCAGAAATCTATTAGAGAGGAGGCCGCCCTGGGTGGGAGGAAGCTCTAAGGTGCCTGCTCTTTTCCAGATGAGAGCCCAGACCTATGGCTTCTTGTCCCCTTCGCCTGGCCTGGCCCCAGCACCTATCACCTGGACTGGTACAATAGCCAACTTGCTCGTCCCCCTGCTTCTGCACTGCCCACCCCACTCCATCCTCTGTGGCACCAGAAGACCGTATGAGAAAGGAGGTCTCATCATGTCTCCCCTCTGCCCAAAACTCCCCAGGGCTCCTACTTCACTCCCAGTGCAGGCCACGTCCCCGGCACGATGGCACACGAGCTGTTCCTTCCTCCAACCCACTGCCCCCGCCCACTCTCTCCTGGCTGTTTCTTGAATACTTCAGACATGCTCCCAGCTCAGGACTCTGCCTCAGATGCTCTCCTGCCTGGTGCTCTCTCCCCCGGGTGCCAGCTTGACCAGGTCATTTCTCTTAGAGGTCTTCACAGACTCACCTGTCATGGGCTGCATGGTGGCCCCCAAAAGATGTGTCCACGACCTAACCCTTGGAACCTGTGAATGTGACCTTATTCGGGAAAAGGGGTTTTGCAGACATAAATAAGGATCTTGAAAGAAGATCCTTCTGAATTACCCAGGTGGGCCCCTAAATCCAATGATGAGTGTCCTGCTAAGAGAAGGAGAAGACAAACAGAGACCGCCCTGTGAAAACTGAGCAGAAAGCTGAGCCCACAAGCCAAGGAAGGCCAGCAGCCACCCGAAGCCGGAAGAGGCCCAGAAGGATTCTTCCCTGGAGCCCCCGGTGGGAGCACAGCCCTTGGAATCTGACTTCTGGCCTGAGGCACTGAGAGAATAAATGTTTTGTGCAGGCCCCTAGTTTGTGGCTCTGTTACAGCAGCACCAGGGTTGCTAATAATCCTCCAGCTTTATCCGGCAGCGCACCGCCGGCCCCTCGCCTTACCACAAGCTGGTTCCCATGGCACCTGTACATTTAGACAATGCCACAGTTTAGCAACACGTTACTTTTATCATTTCTTGCCTAGAACTCAAGCTCCTGACCCAGAGCTGCTCGAGACCCTCACCTGCGGCCATGGCGGGGGGTGTGGTGGAAGGTGTCCATTTGGTCCTGGCTGGGACCCCTTTTTCCGATACACCGGGCGCACTGAGTCACCAGAGGGACGTGAGGTGGGCAAGGGCTCCAGAGCCCAAAACAGGCAGACAGCGTTCCCTTCGCCTCGGTTCCGGTCAGAAGGTTGCCAGTCATCTCACCTGAGTCGTGAGATAGATGATAGCTTCAAGGACCTCGTCCTTTGCCTTTGGGTCCTCAGCCTTTGCCGTAGGGTGATTTCAGAGGCCTGGCAAGGCTCTGCTCCAAGGAAGAGTTCAGACATTTCCTTGGCAGGTAAATTCTCAGCAATTTCTCTCTCCTTTTCAAGCCTGGCACGGCAGCCTGGCCACCCCCTGAACCAACATCTTCCTGAGCCCGTAGGAGGACGCTGGGGGCTGCCAGCCCTGCCATGTGGCCTGACCCTCCCTGTCCAGTGTGAATGCTGCTGCGCATCCCTCACCATCTCAGACTCCAACTGCGTGCTCGTGCCGTGTTCCCGAAAGGATGACCTTCCACCTTCCCTTTGGTTTGGCCTTTCCAGAAAGACTCAGAAAAAGAAACCACTCAACCAAAGTAGCCAAGGAAAAATGAAAAAGTCCGCAGTTCTGCTCTTGGAAAGTGGTGTATTAGTGTCCTGGGGCTGACGTAACAATTCCCACACCGGGGGCGTGACCAACAGACAGTCATCCTCTCGCAGCACTGGAGGCCGGGAGTCTGAAATCAGGGTGTGCGGGGGGGCCATACTCCCTCCGAAGGCGCTCGGGGAGGGTCCGTTCCAGACCTCTCTCCCAGCTTCTGGTGTTGCCAGCAGCCCTGGGCATTCTTTGGCCTGTAGATGTCACCCAGAGCCTGTTCCTGGGTGCCTGGGCCTGTGATCCCAGGATCCCAGGCAGGAGGCTGTCTCGGGAGGGAAATGGAGCATCTTGCCTCTGGCGAGAAGAAAGAGGAGGTGAGAGCCCAGTGGGAAATAACTCTTCTTGAGGCCTGTGAGGGCCCCTGTCTAAGAACATGACTGGCTCCCGAAGGCCTGGAGTACATAGAGGGGGTTCCTTGGCAGTTTGGTGGGGCCCATCAAGATGAGGATGACATTCAGAGAATTGCAGATAGGTAAGCGATGCTGGGGTCTCCTTGCGCCTACTAATTTTTCACTCTCACATGCGTCTGACGGTCCCAGATAAGGTGAGCCGTGTGCAAACCTGGAACAGCACTTTGTGCTTTAAACCCCACGTTGTCATGGCCTGGTGGGGACGTCTTAAGTGTTTGGGGTACAGAATGAAGCAGACAGATTTCCATTGCCCCAGTCATAGGTCCTTGTAGCTGCCGCTCTTGCTGTTTATTCTCGGGGTCCAGCCTTGCCAGCTGTTTGGAGTTCCTTACATTCTCATCTGCCTCACAGCCTTTGCACATGCTGTTCCCACTTTCTGTAATGCCGTTCCTAGCAGACCCCAGCTCTTCCTTCTGATTGTTTTCTGGCCCGTTTTCTGGGCCCACTTTGTTTGGATTTGGTCGTATGACTTCTCGATTCTATGTGTCACTCTGCTGAGCTGGGCTGCACCAAGGCAGGGACTAGATTTTCTTCAGCTCAGCAGCCTGTCCTCAGTGCCTGGAACATGTATGTAGGAGGTGCTCAATAAAGACTCTGCATACATTTTCTGTTTTATGTGTTTCCCAACTCTTTAGCCCAAACTGAAACCATGAGAGACCTCCTACCATGTGCTGCCTGCTCGTGAGCCGTGGCGTCCTGGCCAGGGACCGACTTCCACCCTGGGCAGGCCGTTCCCCAAGTGGGTGCCTCCGCACGCTCCACCTTCTGTCCTCATGCATGCCTCTGGCCTCCTGGGCCCTTGGAGTCACTTGCTGGGCACAGAATAGGCTTCAAGGGTTTTTGGTTTTTCAGCAGTTTTGTTGAGATGTAGTTCACGTGTCGTACAATTCAACCTTTTCAAGTGTACAAATAGTTTTTAGTATGTTTAGATAGATAATTGTACAACTTTCACCACTGTCTCATTCCAGAACATTTCATCACCCCGAAAAGAAGCCCCATACCCATTGGCTGTCACTCCTCATCCTCCTCCACCCCAGCCCCTGGCAACCACGAATCTGCTTTCTGTCTCTTACGAATACACCTATTTTGGACGTTTCATAAATGGAATGATACAATTTATGGCCATTTCTGACTGGCTTCTTTACTGAACATAATTGTTTCAAGGTTCATCTATTTATAGTGTGTGTCAGGACTTCACTCCTTTTAATGGCTGAGTAATATTCCGGCATGTGGGTAGACTGCATTTTGTTTATCCATTTATTCGTCAATGGACATTTGGGTGGTTTCATGTTTGGGCTATTGTGAATAGTGTTGTGTGAGCATGACCAAGGTTTTGTGTGGATATGTGTTTTCGATTCTCTGGGCCTCCAAGTTTTTAACTCACTGCCTATCCCCACTTGATGGACTTCCTGTTGACCCTGGGGGACGCTGAGTGCAGTTATAGGGGAGCAGCTTTGGGTATCTATCGTCATGGTCGAATGAACATTTCTCATGTCACCGTGTGCCCGAGGCTGGCCCGGGCCCTTTCACAGAGGCCTCAGCAGCTGGGATGGGGCTTTTTCCATGCCCAGTATGCAGCGGGGAGACTGAGGCTCAGGTCCCCTCATTTTTGGTTGCAACGTCAAGCTTCCTGGTGCTTGCTCTCCAGCCTCTGTGTCCGAATTAGAGGGCCTGAAGCTCAGAGGGCCGCAGGGTGCTTAGGATGGTGCAGCGGAAATGGTGTAGCGATGGGCGCCTCTTCTCTGGTGTCTGTCTGCTGTGTTGCTGGCCCTCTCTGAGCACTGTGGAAATCTCTGTACTCTCACAGCACCCTAATGAAGTGGGCGTTGATGCTGTTCCATATGACAGATCACGAAACCGAGGCACAGAAAGGCCAAGTTACCCGCCATGGTCATTGGCCATAAGAATCAGGGCAGCCTGGTTTCAGAGTCTACTGCCTGAACCCAATGTTATGCTGCATAGGCAAGAGGCAGATGTTTAGATGGGGATGGAGGGAAATTAGGGGCCCCACGGGGTAAGGCAAGACTTGTTCTTCTAGAGCCTTCTGTATCTCAGCTTCTTACTGAAGCAAGTCTGTGACCTCCATAAGCCTCTGTCCCCACCCTCCCTTACCTGCTCATAGGTCCATGGGGAGACTTACTGCTGCCCCCTCTTATTCCTGAGCCTACCTTCTTGGGCTTTGCCACTCCTCGGAAACCCAGCAGCCCCCCCTCCAATCACCAGCTACCCCAAGAAGATCAGCGGCCCGTTGGCCTGTTCCTGCTCTGCATGCGGTATCCGATTGCCCTCCCAAGAGACAGAGCAGGGACCATTCACCAAGGGGTGTCATTTTCATAGCAGGTGTGGCAGCTAGTGGGGGCAGCCAAGCCTCCTCGGGAAGAGTGGGGGCCAGATTGGATGGCCGGCACCATCGGAGGTCCCAGGGTCCCCCAGTGTGATTTTTCTGTTTGACACCCCAGCGCCCCCTCCCTGAGGTTTCAGCTTGAGGCCCAGAGCCCTCCCCGCCTCCCTCCGCTCCTGAAATAATAATCGCCCCGAGCAGCTGGGTTCCGCGCTGAGCCAGCGCTGGCGGGTCCCCCAGGGAGCAGCGTGCACAGAAACCACAGGTCTCTGTCACCACCCCCCGCTTCCCGGGACAGCGTGTTCTGCCTTCACTCAGATTTCAGTTTTATTTTTTAGTTTGCCCTTGCTCCCTCCCTGGGCCGTGTAGCCTCCTCCCTCCAGTTTTGGTGTTTGCCTTTACTATTCCACCGATTCCAGCCAGTCCTGACACCGGCTCTGCCTGACACAGCCAGACCTCCCTGAGGTTGGAGCCAGACTTCCCAGATTCGAGTCCAGGCTCTACCCCTGGCCAGCTGTGCAGCCTCAGCACATAGCTCAGCCGCTCTGTGCCTCAGTTTCCTTATCTGTAAAATGGAGATAAATGGTACCTCCTTTTTCGAAAGATGAGCAAAGATAAACCACGTTAAGTGCTTAGCGCCGTGCCTGGCTCGCGGTTGGTGGTTTTTGAACCGTGTGCATCAGGCTCGGTGAACCTGGCGGGGGGCGCAGAGGGCTGTGATGCAGGAGAGGGATTTTGAGAGGCGTGTAGTTTTTCAGATGGATGAGAAAGGTATAAAAGGACATCCCAGGTGAAAGGAACCCCGATCGAGAAATGGAAGTTAGTCTTCTGTAGATGGACTCCTCCTCCTTCCTAGTGGGGAATGAATCGAGATGTTTTAGCTGAGCTAAAATCCTCCGTCCTTTACATGGGCCAGGGCTTGGATAATCAATCACTGTTTGCTGGGAGTGCTTGGTGCGGTCAGTTTCCAGGAGCTGAGATGAGCTGGTGCAGACAGGGCCTGGCAATCTCTTTTTACCTGACACCACCAATTCTGCTGCTAGAGCAAGTCATGCGTTGTATAGGACAAGCACTCTGGCACTTTGGGAGATGTGGGTAGAAGCCAGGAAGAAGTACAGTAAGGATGGCCCTGTGCCACACGCGTCCTTTTGCCTGACTTCTTATTCTCACAGCAGCTGGAATGAAGAGACGCTTCTGTTTTTACCCACATTTTACAGATGAGGAAACTGAGTCCCAGAGTCATTACTTGCAACCTCTTGAGGTGAACAGGTGGGAAGTGACAGAGCTGGAGTGTAACCCAGCCCTACTCCCCTGCTCACAGCCTCAGCCACCATGCTTAGTGACCTCTACAGGACATGTTGGCCCTTTGGGTGATATCTGGAGACCCGGCCCCTTACTGTGCCCCTTGGAAGCCGGTGACCTGGCCTGAGTCATCTCACCTCTGAGTTTCACATCCTCACCTGTAAAACAGACAACCCTCCAGTTATCATGTTCAGTTGGGGGTACAGATGGTTGCAAAAGACCTTTGTAAGCTAAGTGCCCTCCTCCTGCTGGCTGTCGTCGTTACCTGGAGAAGAGCAGATGTATGAGATGTGATGGCCCCTTACTGTGCCCCTTGGAGGCCGGTGACCTGGCCTGAGTCATCTCACCTCTGGGTTTCACATCCTCACTTGTAAAACAGACAATCCTCCAGTTATCATGTTGGGGGCACAGATGGTTGCAAAAGACCTTTGTAAACTAAGTACCCTCCTCCTGCTGGCTGTCATCGTTACCTGGAGAAGAGCAGATGTATGAGATGTGAGTGGTCCAGTGCCAGAACCCACCAGAATCTGCCAGAACATTCCAGAACCATCTATCATCTGCGTTTAATCCGGGGTGGTGCTTAGTCCTGCCAGGTGAGAGCACAAGAGTACACGCAGGCGCCTTCTGGAGAAGAGGACAGACTCTGAGCTGGGCCTGGCACGGTAATGAGTGGGTGCATGTCCAGAAACGCTGGTGCCCAGCTCAGAGAGGAGGAACCAGGGCCAGGCAGCCTGGGTTCAAATCCCCACCCCAGCACTTACCTCATGTGTGACCTTGAGTGAGTCACTCAAGCATTCTGTGCCTTAGTTTCCCCCCTATAAAATGTGGATAAGAATGGTTTTTACCTGTGGGGTTGATATGAAAACAGTGCACTACGTGGATGGCAAGCATCTTTTCAAGGTCAGACCGTTCTAAACGCTGTATAGTGGTGGCTGTTGTTACTGCCTAGGTGGGTAATGGGAGAGCAAAAATTGGAGTGTGCATGTGGAGGGGAGTGTCTGGAGTTAACCCCCCTTTCTGAGACCTTTAACCCTTGCTCTGTGCCTCAGTTTCCCCATCTGTACATTGGCTGTGAGGGCTAGAAACTGGTTGTGAGGGCTAGAAGAACCCTTTTGGTGCCTGCGGGTCCATTCCAGGCCTG